GCCAAAAGGAGCAACTAAAACCTAAAATTCAGGCCATGATTCCCTTCCCCAGCCCCTGTGCCAGCTTGGTGGAAAGGGATTTTTTTTTTTAGTTTTTTACATGAGAGTGCCCTTTCATCATTCTTATTCATTCTTTGCAGTTTTTATAAACTACTACTATATGCATTAATGAGAACTCCATCTTGGTTCTTGGTGCAGTGCCTGGTATATGGAAGATGTTCCTTTAACTCAGCAAATGTCTTCTGAGATGCCTATTGTGTTCAAAATTTCCCATGGTTGAGCTGTCCAGGCATGTGGAAAAGATCAGTGTTCAATTCCTCAATATAATAAAGGCTGTGTATGACAAAGTTATATCCAGTTTTATTCTTAATGGCGAAAAGCTAAAGCCATTTCCTCGAAATTCAGGAATGAGACTCTCTCCACTTCTCTCCAATTTAGTATTAGAATGCCTGGCTGGATCAATAATACAAGATGCAAACATAAAGGGGATCCAAATAAGGAAAGATGAAGTAAAACTCTCCCTCTTTGCAGATGACATGATCTTGTATTTAAAGAACTGCATGGACTCCACTCCCAAGTGTTACTTGAGCTGATTCAAAACTTTGGCAAAGTAGCAGGGTACAAAATTAACCCTCAAAAAATCAATGGCTTTCTGTATTCCAATAATGAGAAGAGTGAGTGTTAAATAAGGAAAGCAACTCCTTTTGTAATAACCCCACAAAAAATAAAATAAATATCTAGGAGTTAACTAAAGAAGTGAAGGACCTCTATGATGAAAACTTTAAAAACCTGAGAAAGGAAATTAAAGTAGAACTAAGGAAGTGGGAAAACCTCCCATGCTCCTGGATTGGGAGGATTAACATTGTGAAAATGGCAATATTGCCAAAGGCTATCTACAAATTCACTGCGATACCTATCAATATCCCAACCTCATTCTTCAAGGAAATAGAAGAAGCAATCCAAAAACTCATATGGAACAAAAAAAAGACCCCAAATAGCAAAAACAATCCTTAGCAAAAAGAACAGTGCTGGAGGAATCTCAATACCAAATTTCAAACTCTACTACAAAGCCATAATAATCATAACAGCTTGGTACTGGCACAAGAACTGACTTCAGGACCAATTGAATAGAATTGAAAACCCAGAAATAAGCCCACAGACATATAGTCACCTAATCTTCCATAAGGGAGCTAAAAACATAGAACGAAAGAAAGACAGCTTCTTCAGTAAATGGTGCTGGCAAAATTGGTTAATCACCTGTAGAAAACTAAAGCTAGAATCTTCTATATCACCCTGCACCAGAATCAACTCCAAATGGATCAAAGGCCTCTGGTTAAAAACAGATACTCTGAACACATTACAGGAAGGAATAGGAGAAACTCTAGGGCTCCTTGGCACAGGCTCAAATTTTCTTAATAAAGACTCAGAAACACAACAAATCAAAGAAAGGTTGGACAAATGGGATTGCACAAAACTGCAGAGCTTCTGCATGGCAAAGCACTTAGCTAGCAAGATCAATAGAAAGCCCATGGACTGGGAGAAAATCTTCACTAGCCATACAACAGACAAGGGTCTGATATCTAAAATATACTTAGAACTAAAAAACTTAAGTCCCCTAACAAATCCTCAAAGAAACAACCACCCAATTAATAAGTGGGCTAAAGACTTAAAGAGAAACTTCTCTGAAGAGGAAGTAAGAATGGCCAATAGATACATGAAGAAATGCTCAACTTCTCTAGCCATGAAAGAAATGCAAATCAAAACAACATTGAGATACCACCTCACCCCAGTTAGAATGGTTATAATCAAGAAGTCTAATAACAACAGATGGTGGAGGGGATATGGCCAAAAGGAAACCCTACTTCATTGTTGGTGGGAATGTAAACTTGTTCAACCAATTTGGAAAGCAGTATAGAGGTTTCCCCAAAGACTCCACATAGAACTCCTCTATGAACAAGCAATCCCACTTTTGGGCATTTACCCAAATGATCACAAACAAGGCTATACTAAAGCTATCTGCACAACTATGTTTAATCACAGTATTATTCACTATAGTTAAGATATCAGATCAACCCAGATGCCCCTCAGTAGAATAATGGATCAAGAAAATGTGGTGTGTACGTATTCAATGGAATCCTATGCCTCCACCAGAAAGAATGGCATTGCCCCATTTGTTAGGAAATGGAGACTTGGAAAAAATTATATTAAGTAAAGTAAACCAGGCCCAAAGAAACATAGGTCCCATGGTTTCCCTTATTTGCAATATATAGTATATGTATGAGTCAAGCAGAAAAGGTCAAAAGCTATGTACATATGACCATATGAGATGATGCTAAGCAAAATGAACCCCAAGATAGGGAGGGACACAAGAGGTTTTATCTTTGTTGCTGTTGTTTTTAATGTACTATGTGATTTTTTTGTTTCTTTTGTATGTTCTTCCCCCATGGTATAACCCCTGTTCTCACTGTATTTGATTCCGCTGTCCTGCATCTTGTATATACATTTTTCTAATTTGGGTAGGGGAATGGAAATAACAAAATGCTGAAACAGGATATAGGTTGACCCACTATAACGATGATATGTACAAGACATTATGCTGACAATGAACTTTACAACTTTGGGGTGGGGGGAGGGAGGAGGCAGGAGATGGGGAGGTAAGGGATAATAGGGGAAAAACACAGGAGGGGGTAACAATGCTCGATAGGAAATGGACTCATTACCTTACTCATGTAACTTTAACCCCTCTGTACAGTATCTTTACAATAAAAAATATATATTAAAAAAAGGCCCTTGGCAGCATGCCCACTGAGGTTAGTCTTGAGTTAACTTCCCATCTCATGAGCTAACTTCCCTTAAGATCCTCCAAATTTCATTCCATTGATCCTAGACATGCCCTGGAGACTTGCATCTCTGAGACCAGAACCTGCAAAGTCAAAGCCTGCAGATAACAAGAGTCTAAGCAGACAGCCAGGAAAGAAAAACACAGGGCAAAAATCATACCCAAACAAGAGATATACAAAATAAACTATTCATCATAAGCAGGCTGCATATCCAAGGGCATTTTCTGTGGTTCAGGCCTGACTCCCGAGAGTCAGTTTTCCTTTGTTCTGCCAGAAGTGGACAGAAGTAGGCAGATAGAAGCTGTATTTGGTGCCTTTTGGAGAGGGGTGAAGAGGCTCAGCGAATTGGCAGGAAGGAGGGAAGAGAGGCCCTGGCAAAGAAATACCAGGGCACCACAGTGTCCCACTGGTGGCTGGGTGATGTGAGTGTTTGACAGGAGAGTTACTTATACTCTACTCAGTCAGTGCCAACCCCTGCAGCTCATAGGGCAGAATAACTCTCTAAGCATCTTCCTCCATGTTGTTCCCAGAAATGATCATGACTTAGATGCCAGAGCTCTTCAAACGCTTCCATGGAAGTCTTAACAGCAATAAGAGATCTGGGGACTTAGCTAGAAGCTAATAAATTTCTAAAACATTGCATGTTTTAAATTTAAAAATGAACACATTACATTTCACATTTATATCTTGTTTGTTATATAAAAATGTTTCCTCCCTAAATTTTGGAGTGAAATTGAACTTCAGAAAGAAATGTTGGGTTTGCAAGATAGGGACACAAGAGATTTTATCTTCCCTGTTTTTTTTTAATGTACTTTTAGTGTACTATGTGATTTTTTTTGTTTCTTTTGTATTTTCTTCCCCATGGTACAATACCTGTTGTCACTGTATTTGATTCTGGTGTCCTGAATCTTGTATATACATTTTTCTAATTTGGGGAGGGGAAGGGAAATAACAAAATGCTGAAATAAGGATATAGGTTGATCCATTATAACAATGAGATGTATAAGACACTATGTTGAAAAAAAACTTTACAACTTTGGGGCTGGGGTGGGGGTGGTGGGAAGGAGTTGGGGAGGTGGGGAGGGAAGGGATGGTAGGGAAAAAAGGAGGGGTTAACAATGCTTGATAGGAAATGGACTCATTACCTTGCTCATGTAACTGTAACCCCTCTGTACAGTATCTTTACAATAATATATATACGTACATATATATATACATACACACACACACACACACACACACACACACACACACACACACACACACACACATATATAATGTTGGGTTTGTCCCTCTGCATACAAGCCCCTATTGCTATGTATACCTGTGTTACATACACCCAGGTGAGGAGACAATGGTTACCTTACATTCTCTCTTGTTATAAAAAGTTCTCAACTACATCTTAGTGTCTGCAATGCCCAATGATCCAAACTCTATCCTCAATTCAATTCATTTACCTCACAAAGACATAGCAGATTTCCTTCAAACGAAGAGTGGCCTCCGCTTCTTTGAACATCCTCAGCTCTTTCTCTGTTCCTCACTTATCTCTGATCAATTCTACCTTGTTATTCCTCTGACATGTCAGTGACTCTCTGTGTTGTTTTCCTTCTAACATGATGTGTATATCTAATATTTCCCATGGAAACTGGCTTTGTGTATTTAGCACATGTTCCATACATATTTCCTCAGATTCTTAAGAATAATAACAATAAGCAATTTCACACAGACATCTGGTTGAAGTAAATCTCTACTCTATGGTACATTTATGTTTGTTTATTGCAGGTTTGTGGTCTGGGCCTAGAAAGAAAGGTACAGTGTTGCCATCAGCATTCTAATGGTTCCATTTAAAAGTGGAATGATACTTTTTGGGGGGGGGTTGGTCATGGGGCTTGAACTCTGGGCCTGGGTGCTGTCCTTTAGCTCTTCAGCTCAAGACTCTACCACTTGAGCCACAGCACCACTTCCAGTTTTCTTGTGGTTAGTTGGAGATAAGTTTCTCACAGACTTTCTTCCCTGGATTGGTTTTGAACCTTATTCCTCAGATCTCAGCCTTCTGAGTAGCTAGGATTACAGGCGAGAGCCACTGGTGCCCAGTTTAAAAGTGGAATGATTCTGATGCAGGTTGACAATAGAGCAACAGCAATGAAAACTGTATCATACCTTAATATTTTCTTCTGGCCAAGAGTTCAGGATTGTTGCAATGTGGTCCTTGTCATGAATGGTAATAAACAGCCCACTAGGAGAAACAAACACACAAAGAAAGAAACCAAGTGGTCAGACAAGAAACATAAGAGACCACAAGTACTGGATATCATTGCATCACTTAATTTTGCACATAGACTTGGGCAAAAGAAATTCCTTCCTCAAACCTTAACAGTTTACAAGTCCTGCTTTGGTTCTACCATTTTTCCTCTCCATAGAACCAAAAGTCCATCAAGCCAAGGGGTATATATGTCCATGTGGATTCTGTATTCTCCAGAAACTGCATTTTCTCATTTCCCTTTTGACCAGATACCTACACTTGAGAATTCTGACTGCTTTGGGAACTGTATGGATCTATTCTCAAGGTCATTTTTTTTTTTTTTGCTGGTCCTGAAGTTTGAACTCTGGGCCGGGTACTGTCCCTGAGCTTCTTTTGCTCAAGGCTAGTGCTCTACCACTTGATCCACAGTGCTGCTTCTGGCCTTTTCTGAGTAGTTTTATTGGAGAGAAAAGTCCCAAGGATTTTCCTGCTGGGGCTGGCTTTGAAATATGATCCTCAGATCTCAGCCTCCTAAGTATTTAGCATTACAGATGTGAGCCACCAGTGCCCGGCTTCACAAGATCATTCTTGAGAACAGACCAGTGGCTAGATCTTAGGCCTGAGGCTGTGGGTGGAGCTTGGACATGTGGGCGACTCTGTTCAGACATGTATGCACCTGGTACCAGAAGTAGTTGAGATGAAGTGGGTAAGGTGAGCATGCTGAGAGTCTTCTCTGCACCACTGGAGTCTGAGAATTCAAAATTGGCTTTCCAGACCACGAACAAAGTATATTTGTATACATAGGACGCTAGAACATACTTTATTTATCAGGTAGATTTAGAATTCTAATATTTTAGACCTATAGTATATGGGCATAAATCTTCTGCCCTGGAATCAGGAGTGAGACATTATGTGTACCTATATGTGGAGAATCCACAATGAATCACAAACGAATCTTAATCTCTCATTTCTTGTCAGGACAATCCTTTCTCCTCCTTTCCCTCGCCAAACTTTTAAAAAGTGTTACCTAAACTAGCTGTATGTTTTTTTATTTGTTTTTCACTTCTTACTCAATCCTCATCCTCTACCAGTATTTTCCACTATCATCTCTCAGCATCATGATTCCAAACTATCAATAAGTCTCACATCCTTAAATGAAGGAGGCTTCTCAGTAGTATCTAGATTCTTTCTTTCTTTCCTTTTCTTCCTTCCTTCTTTCCTTCCTCCCTCCCCCCTCCCTCCCTCCCTCCCTCCCTCCCTCCCTCCCTTCCTTCCTTCCTTCCTTCCTTCCTTCCTTCCTCCTTTCTTTTTGGTATCAGTCCTAGTGTTTGAAATTAGGGCCTGAGTGCTATTTCTGAGCTCTTTTTTTTTTTTTTTTTGGTCAGTCATGGGGCTTGAACTCTGGGCCTGGGCACTGTCCCTCAGCTCTTTAGCTCAAGACGAGTGCTCTACCACTTGAGCTACAGTACCACTTCCTGTTTTCTGGTGGTTTATTGGAGAGAAGAGTCTCAAGGACTTGGGAGTTGGGAAGGTGGCTCAGTGGTAGAGCGCTTGCCTTGCATGCCTGAGGCCCTTGGTTTGATTCCTCAGCACCACATAAGCAAAAAGAAAAAAAGCTGGAAGTGGCGCTGTGGCTCAAGTGGTAGAGCGCTAGCCTTGAGCTGGAGAGCTGAGGGTCAGTGCCCAGGCCCAGAGTTCAGGCCCCATGACCGGACCCCCTCCCCCCCCCCAAAAAAAAAGAGTCTCAAGGACTTTCCTGTCTGGTCTGACTTTGAACTGCAATCCTCAGCTACTCAGCTTCCTGAGTAGCTAGGATTGCAAGCACTGGTGCCTGACCTTGAGCTCTTTGGCTCAAGGCTGGTACTCTATCATTTGAGCCGCAGCTCCAATTCCAGCTATTTGGTTGCTAATGGGAGATAAGAGTTTCACAGACTTTCCTGTCTGGGGTGGCTTTGAACTGTGATCCTTAAATTTCAGCCTCCTGAGTAGCTAGGATTACAGGTGGGAGCCACCAGCACCTTGTAGTTTCTACCTTTACTCACATCCTCAAGCAAACTTTGAGTTTTCCTCCCTGTCCTCTAGCTCTACCTTCTTAGTCTCTTACTAGCCATTGTATGATAAGTTTCCCCAAAACACATACCTCAAGCCTGTCAGAACGGCAGTCATCAAGAAAACAAACAACAAATACTGGTGATGATACAAAGATAAAGGAACCCTTACACACTGGTGGTAGGAACATAAACTAATAAATGAAAATCAGTATGTAAATTCCTCCAAACATTAAAAATAGACCTACCTTATTACCCTGGCATACAACTTGGGCATATATCTAAAGGAGAATAAATCAATATACAAGAAAGATATCTGCATACCCATGTTTATTGCATCTCAGTTCACCAAAGTACTCAACAATTGGTGAATAAACTATTATATAATAATCCTTTATATATACTTATCCATATATATAAAGAAAAATGAAACAAAAATGGACAAAGATGGAGCTCAGATTGAGTGAGATGAAACTCAAGAAATCAAATATGCCATTTTCTTGCTGATTTGTGAAATCTAGACCTCAAATAATGGTGAGTGATGATGACCATGGTAATGGGAGACTATGTAGGAGGGAACCAACAGGTGGAGGGTAAAAGGAGGGGGTGCTGAGGGTACATGTGAGAGGGATAGCTAGTGTGGGACTCTCAGATGCTCCTGTGTCTTTGTGGCCCCAACCAGATGATAGGAACCACTTAAGTGCTACAAAGCACTTTGTATTCTACAGCGGGGCATTTCAATCTTGTCTCCTTTCAAAGGATCCAGAACCCTGGGGACATGATACTTGTGAGGCACTGCCTACTGCTAGAGGTACACAGGGAATCAGGAAGGTGGGTGGAATTCCAGGAAGCCTTGTCTGGCTCCAAGGCACAGGACATCTCCAGCCTATGAATGAGTTATGCATAGTTTGGGATCCCAAGGTACTGAACTTTCTACAATGAGCTCCTGCAGGCTGGGCCAGCTGTCATTGAGGCCATGTCTCCTCTGAGAACTTAGAACATTGCTCACCCTTCCTGGGCTACCCAGATGGGCATGGAGGCAATCAGGCTAATTTCACTGCCATAGTCACTAAGAGGAACAGGACAAAAACAAAAGTAATTTTAACTACTGATGACTTCTTTTTTTCCTGTTTATTTCAGGGAAGCAATTTTAGAACTTGAGGATGAAAAACATAATGTAATATGGCAAGCTGCCAATCTATGGAACCCAAGATTTTAATGAATTGCCTTGCTTTACGTAAGACAGAATATAGACTTGAAAAGTTGTGAGTTAATAAAATATATAGGTCTAAAAGCATATTGTATGCATGCACATGAGGTTCCTGTTTAAAGGGAAAATGTGAGGAATTGGTTAGGAATGTATATTATTTCCTGATGTGTTCATCTGCTTTCTGTTACTGTGACAAAATGACTGAGATAGACCACTTACTAGGAGGGAAGGTTCATGTTGGCTTACAGTTTTGAAGGTTCCAGACCATGGATGGTTGACTTGTTTTTGAGCCCATGGTGGTTTCCATCATGATGAAAACACATGGCAGGGAAACCCTCACCTAGAGGCAATTAGGAAACTACGAGAGAGAGTGGATCCACCCACTGGCCTGACTTCACCTCACTAAACTTCACTTCTACCAAGTGCCAAAGGCGCTTGAGCTTTTGGGGGGATATATCAGATCAAAATTATAGTACTTGATTTGTGGCTTTTCCAAGTTTGGAATTTCCTTCTTCAGGTCCTAGAAAGCAAGGTCTCTCTTAGCTGACACATGGTCAGCATGGCCACTGACCAAACCTGAGAAGCAATAGTCAAAGGAGCATGCAGGGTTCCCTCTCATGAGCTTTAGGGGTAAGTGTGCAGAGAGAGGAGGGAATAGCCTAAAGCTTAAATCAAACCTGCCCTGATCATCTACTCTGTTCTATATCTCAGATACCTTGTGTGATCTCTGTTCCAAGCACAGGCAAAATGAGCATCCATGATTTGCTGAAATAAAATAAGGCTGGTCATTTGCTTTGGCTATAAAATATAAGTGGCTACAACACAGCTTTCCGGTGTAGAGTTTTAAGAGTCAGTATGTGATTTACTCACTTCTTTTTCTCTCTTTGCCCCACAGAAACCTATATGATTCCAGATGGGGTTCTGAATAAAGGGTGACACAGAGCAGAGCCTGCAGGTTGGTGGTGGTAGGAATGGAATGTGCGTATGTGTGTACAGAAGCACACGGAACAGAAGCACAGAATTACTTTTGAGCATTGAGATTTTAGGATTGTTTGATACACAGTAGAACTCTATCATGTTTAACAAACTCAGAGATATCTAATATTCATTCATTTCCATCTCAGCACCCAATATTCTCTCAATAGGCCTCTGGCAATGACATCCAAGGAAAAGAAATCCTTATTATAAACAGTACTTGGCATTAACTAATATTTAGGACAAGGTACCTCTAATGCACATTTCATTTTTTCATATACTTTTTCATTTTTGTATATCTTTATTGTAAAGATACTGTACAGTGGGGTTACAGTTACATGAGTAAGGTAATAAGTACATTTCCTATCAAGCATTGTTGCCTCCTCCTTTGTTTTTCCCCTACTATCCTTTCCCTCCCCGCCTCTCTCCCAAAGTTGTAAAGTTCATTTTCAACATAGTATCTTGTACATCTCATTGTTACAATGGGTCAACCTGTATCCTTGTTTCAGCATCTTGTTATTTCCCTTCCCTTTCCCAAATTAGAAAAATGTATATACAAGATGCAGGGCACCAGAATCATATACAGTGACAAACAGGGGTTATACCACTCCCATAGACTTTATGTTGCAGGAGGGCTATACCACATGTATCTTATTCATGGCTGTAACTATGAGGCCTAAAGGGGTGCCAGGCACACAGCAAGCACAAGGAAATATGTATACTAGCTATCATGAGTGTTTTAGAATGTAGTGCTGATGGGA